TTTATCTATAGCGTCTTCGTCGTAAAGCTGAACCCGGCAATAATCGTCCAGTATATATTCCACAACCAAGACCACCTCATCCGGTAAATATTTAAATTACATTACAAATTCAATAACATGATAATATTTTTTTTCAAATTTTATATTAATTTTCTATTAAAAATTATAAATTATATCTATTTAATCTTATTTTTTAGCGAATCTAATTTATGAAGAATATGAAGCAGTTGACATGAAATATCAAATATTTAATAAAATATTTTTAATCAATTCATTATAAAATATTGTATTTAATGTAATATAATTTTAAAATAAAATTGATTTTATTATTATAAAATCTATAAAATGTTTTATTTACTAATCCTTATTCAAATAAAATTCCATATGCATATAAAAATTATTAATATTTGCATAATATGCATATAAAATTATTAATATAAAAATTATTAAATATGTATATATAAGAATAAATATATTACTTTTATATCAAACAGTATTTTTATACAAGTTACAATTATTATATATACAAACTTATTCTAATAAAACAACGACAGGTGCATCATCTTCAGTTTCTTCTTGCAAATTAGAAAAATCCCATAAGAATTTTGTTGATAATCGTTCGCTAAATCTTTTTGTATAAGATTTCAGACGTCCATCTAATTCAGAATTGATTTCAATATTCGCAAATAGTTTATGTAAATTATGATAAATAAAATTATTATTAGCTACAATATCACAAAGTATATCTTCAGGTACATGCATTAATTGAATCTCTATTGCTTTCATAAATTCAACATAAATAGCACGACGTTGCGAAATTGCACAATCAGCACCACAAATGAGAGAGACAAGTTTTTTCCAATGTTCAAAGGCATCAAGACTTTGTCCAACAAGAAAGCAGACAAATGTCAATTGCATTTCACCAATTAACTCTATAGGACTAGAAAGATATTATTAAATATAATAGAATATAAATATCTAATCAAATATTTAACCAGTTGCTTACAGTGTTAAATCATTAAGAATAATATCCAATACATAACTTGAATCCAAAGAATATTTTGTAATTTCAGTTGGTGATGCTCCATCTGGATATTGTTTGTTAGGTATTTTAGAAAGTCGAAGTTCTGTACCAGGTTTAGGTTTCATATCAGGAAGAAGTTCATCTTCTTTTTCTTCTACAGTAATTCCACTCCTTCTTTTTTTTGGTTTTGATTCTCCACCTCTTGGTCTTGTAGCATCAGAACAATATTCTAATTCTAAAGCTGATCTTACAAAGCTAAAATACAAAATTTATTAACAAAAAAAATAAGTATAATAATATTAACAATTAATATTTATAATTAACTTATGAAATTAACATACCCACATATAGGTGAGCAACGTTCGACAAGAGAAGGAGTAATATGATTTGTTAAATCTTTCCACTGTTTCCATATATCATAAGGATAACATCCTAGAAATTTATCCAAATCTTTCAAATTCTTCTTCAATCTTTCAACTGTCTCTTGTTCTACAACTTTAAATAAAAAATAAAATTTTATTAGTAAAAAAATCTTATTTTTTTTCATGCTTTTTAATGCTCATTATATTAAATATTATTATCATACTTTCTGAACTCAAATCTTCTTCTGTTGTATCCCAATGTTTAACTAAAAATTCAGATTTCTTAAATGTATGAAAAAAACCAACTTTTGGTTTTGCTTCTCCAAATTCATCTATAGCACTTTAAAAATAAATGTATGAATATGATGTATAAATACTAGGAAAAAGAAAAATAACAAAAAAACTATACAAACTTACCTATAATGGATATAATGAAAGCCTGGTGGAATCATTTTAATACCTTTAAATTTATCTGCTGTGTTCCACGATTTTAAATCTATTCCAAATTCTGTGCCACTGGGTACATTCAATGTAATTAACGTAGCACCTTCAAAAAAAAGTCTTTGTGCCAAAGTTTGATCCATTTCTATTCCTTCACTTCCCATGATTGGTTATTAAATTATAAAATTTGATTTTTGATTATTAAAACTATAAACCGAATCTGTTTTTTTACATATATAAATTTTATATGTATATTATGTATATATTATTTATTATTTTATATATTTAAAATAATGATTTAATATTTTTTTCATTTGATAATTACAATAGTTTTCGAAAATTGTATAAAACACAGACACAGAAATATTATAGACATCTAATGGTGAATAAATGGAATTAATTAATCCATAAAAATAACAAAATTTAAATTAAAGCTTAGATTTTTAAAAACTTTGAGTTAAAAAATTTAAGATTAATTATATCTAATCTAAATATTTTCTTTAATAATTTAATTGACTTATTCAGAAAATTTTTCAGAAAGTACATTGTGGTGTCATCTAACGGTGAGCAGATTAAACTAATTGTCATATAAAATAAAAAATTATGAATTCTAAAACTTCTACGCAAAATTTAACTTTTAAAAATTTAAATTAAAATTCAAATTTTCAAAAATAATTTGAGATTAATTATAGTCCAATATTCTCTCTTTATCTATGATAATTATAAATTTTTAAATCATAAAAAATATATTAAATATTTTAATTTTTTATATATATAAATATTTCAAAACATGATATAAAAATGTTATTTAAAGTTAGGTCTATTCTATATTTTATCTGTAATATCATTTTTATAGTGAATCTAGGAATTCTAACCGTTACTGTAAACATTAAAACGAGTGCCGGATAAACGTGTTTTTGATCGGCGTTCAAAAATATAAAAAAATCTAAAACAATACTGACTGTCATTTTAGTTAACATGGATAATAATCTTCCAGATTTAAAAGTAAATGAAACTGCCAAAGTGAGTATTTTATTCTTAAAAATTTTTTCTTTTAATTAACATTTAATAATACTAAGTATTTAGGTTAGTTTAAGGTTATATATAGACCTATAAATTTAATATTATGTTTTATTTAAGAAAAATTTAATATAAATTGAAAATTTAACATTGCATTTTATATATGCAAATTTATATTTTAATTATAAATTAATTCTAAACTATAAATTAAATATTTTTCAAAGAGATTTTTTATTTGTTATTATTCTATTCCTAAATCTTTTAGGTTTTAGTCATAAATATTTATTTTATTGCAGGAAAGCATATCTGATTTAGACAAATTAACACAGTCGTATTTGTTGTTAAAAAAAAGAATATCTGGAACTCAGTAAGTTATTTAACATATTCATTTTAAATTTTTCTTTCATATGCAATATTTATTTCAATTATCTTTTTAATTAATTTATTTATTTTTAGTGAATTAATTAAAAGATATAATGATAAGTTAAAAGAATGTGATAGATTAAAGCAAGAGGTAGATACATTAAATAAACAAACAAAAGAAGTAACATGTAACTATAATTCTAGTTTAGCAAAAGTTATTAAATTAGAACTTGTAAGTAAAAAGATATATATATATATTTATAAAATGTTTTTTTTCTGGATAATGTTCTTATTACTTAGAATCATTAATATTTAATTTATAGCAAAATACGGAATATAAAAAAAACATTGAAACTTTAAGTACACAAGTAAATGATCATAATATAAAAACATCAGCTGATCAACAATACATACAACAATTAATCTGTAAAATAAAAGATATAGAAGATAATCAGAATGACAAAATAATGCAATATGACTTAGAAAAATCTTCACTTCAAGGTATGTATTATAATGCAGATTTAAATATTTTTTTAGAAAAAAAAAAAAAAAATTCATTTTTTTTTGTAGTAAGAATCAAAGAATTGGAACAAGAATTAAAAACTGTTAAAAAATCATATGATATGAAAATGAAAAAAATAGAAAAGAAATTATCTACAGAATGTGAAAATAGTAAGTTAAATAAAATTAAAAATTTAATAATTAATATGATTAATGATAATATTAATAATATTTTTAAATGATGTAATCTGATTTCTTGTTATAGAAACAAAATTAAAAGATATTGGAATCAATACAACATTGACTAAAGATACAATAATACAAAAACCAGAAGTTACTGAAAAATCTGTATTAACTGACGAATTTTATAATGTCAAAAGTGATTTATATCCTATATTTTGTAGCAATTGTGAAATTCTATTAGAACCGCCTCCTCTTGAGAAAATATGTAAAATTATGAGTGATTCATGTCCAAAATTGATTGAAAAAATCTCATCTCCACCAAAAAGATCTATATCTCCTATAGAAATATCAATAGGTAAGATATTAAATTATTTAATATGTAATGATGGATTTATAATAATTTTATATTTATATACTTTTAGATGTAAATAATGAACAATGTAAAACAGAAAATTTACCAATATTGTCAGATACTTCTTCTTCACATTTGCAAAATCAGAATAGTCATATAAATTTTAATTCTACAAATCTATTACGTCCTCATACAATTTCATTAAATCACACAGATTATTGCAATACTTTTTCTCCGACGTCGAATTTAATAAATCAAAGTGCTCATTATATTGAATCGAAATCAATTAATTCTTTATCATTAACAAATTCAAATACAACTAATAATAATACTTCTTGTGCAAATATTATAACAACAGAATCTTCTTTGGCGATTATTTCCTCATTACAAAAGAGGATTGATATATTAGAAAAGAAAGTAAAAAGAAAATTGAATAAAAAAAAATCTGATCAGAGTAATAATTGTTGCCATAATCATTATCCAAATACTCTATCCATGTATGATATAAATAATTCCATGCAATTCAATTTCATTGAATTATGGAAGAAAATGATTGATTTTTCTGAAAATAAGAAAAGAAAAAACATTGATATGCACAAGACATTGAAAAAATACAAATTATCTCAATTAAAACATAAAAGATTGCGAAGTACATCTACCAATTCTTGGAAAGTTGAATCAATTGGAAAAAAAATTGAACAAAGTCCCGTTCGGAAAAAATCTAAAAAATGTAAATATCGATATTCTTCACTTTTTAATAAATCGGACAATTCGTTAAATAGAACTGAAGATTTAGAAAAATCAAACAGTGAATCTGATGCAGACTTTGGTGAATTTAACTCTATCAATAGTAAAACAAATATTAATTCGGAATGTGAAAGCATATCGCATATAGAAAGTTCTAGTTCATTATCGAATTCTAATAATACAAATATAAATGAAGTTCAAATAGTACAAAATACAGTTGAATGTAGCAAATCAGTAGGAGGTGAAACCGATTCAGGAATATTATCGGATTCTATTGAATCTAGTAAATTAATACAACTTGAAACAGATACTGAAATATATTCGGAATTAATAGAACAGAAAAATCTGACAGAAATTAAATCTTCCACAGAAAATGCATCAGATTCTATTGGAAATATTAAACTTATAAATGAATCGCCAGTAAAAACAGTATCGCATATAGTAAAATTTATCGAACCAATTGAAAAAACTAATACTTTAAATATCTCGTCACAATTCGATAAAAATATTCAAAAAATTGAACATACAAATATATCAAAAACATCGCAATGTGAAGAATTTGTGACTCAAATTGAAATAAATAATTCTGATTCTCTGACACAATTAGCGAGGAAAAAAAAAATAAATAATTTTCGTGAAATAAAAAAAATCAGTAATCGTCAAAAATTGTTGAAAAAATTAAGAAATTTAAAGAAGCGCAATAAAGTCACGAATCCATGTCAATTGTTGACGTCAGAACATCGAGATTTGGATAATTATGAAAATTCTAATATATCTCAAAAAAAAGATTCTAATATCGAGATAATTAAAGAAGATGATTATATACCTAAAAAGAAGTCTCGTATTGCACACATACCTAAAATTGAACATGAAAAACTAAATGATACTTTACACTTTAAAAAACAATTAATAAAAGATATAGCAAACATTACTAATTCAAATAAAGTAAAGGAAGATAATAATGAATTACAAGAAATTGATAGCAATAAGATAGAAGAATCTCAAATAATAATTTCAAGTATACATTCTAAAAATATACAAAATACAGAAGATAGTTCTATACCTGCTCACGCAATAGTAATTTCTGATGTTAAAAATTCATTAAGTAATATAGATAATAAGAATTCATTCAAAACAGATATGAATAATTGTGATCAATCTGATACTGTATTTAATAATATTGACTACAATTTGAAAGAAACAATTGAACCGAATGAGATAAAGACTGAATCAAGTAAATATAATGAACATAAATATGAAAATAATTCTTTAAATATAAAAGAAATTAACAAAATGGATAATATGAATGAAAAAGAATTATTAAATTCTAATAATAAGTCTTCCACTGATATTTTAGAAATAAATTATGTAAATGAAAATTTAAAAACTAAAGAAATATCTAATAATGTCCTTGAAAAGGAAGAAGATTTTAGTATAGAACATAAAGTGAAAATACATGGCCCACTTACACATTTGAAAGAATATATTAATGAAAATAAATGTAAAAATAAGAAGAGTAAAAATGATTATAAAAAACTTGTACATGTTTTTTTAATAACAGGTAAAATTATTCCATTAACTAATTTTCCATTAATTATTTCCATTAACTAATCATTAAAAAAAAGTATAAAATCATCGAAAATATGTTTTATTTATTTTAGATAAATTCGTGAGGAAACAATTGCAAAGGCTTATAGATAGTGATTGGAATAATTCCATACATTGGGACGTAATTGAAAAATTGAAATCTACTTGTAGCGATCGTATTATAGCAAAGTTAGTATTATATCATATTAACAATCAATTTTTAACATGAATAATTAACAATATATAACATATATATAATGTGATTTCAGAGGAATTATAGATTTCCTAAGTATAGAACAAGAATGTAATATAAATTTAGATAAAAACCATACACCACCTGCACCATTAATGTCAAAATCACAACAAAGGATCTCAGCATTATTAGTTGATTTAGAAAAGTCAAAATGCATGGCATTTCCATTTGTTCAGGCTGGAATAGAATATAAACTTTTCAGACTTAATCAATCAATAGAGGTTTAACTTTTTCTCTATTACTTTAAAATTATATAAAATTAGAGAACATAATTAATTAATTTTATATAATTATTTTTAATTTATATAATTAATTTTATGTTTAGAGATATGCTGTAGAATCTCTTGCTAGAATGTATACAATTTTAGCGCGAATTAAAAAAGATCGAGAAAAAATAAGAATATTTTGTTGCGATGCTTTGTATTGTTTGGGACTTAATGCGATAATTATTTTATATACGGTATTCACTTGTTGGCCAGAAGTATTTCGACAGAATAACGACGTAAATACTGGTGCGTATAACTTTCTAAATAATTTTAGAATTAAATTTTTTATACGATATTTTAATCTGTTATTAGAATTATTGCCAAAATGTATGGCACATCTAATCTTGATACAACAAGGTAAAGATTTTCCTAAACTCAATGCCTTAAAAAACTTGGTATCAGTATTTTATAAATATCAAATGACGTTATCTCAAGATTTACTCAAAGAACTTCTAACGGCATTTCAAAGTGAGTAACAATTACAATATTTTTAATTTATCATTTAAATAACTACTTGATTTGTAGAAAAGTGTTATGGTGAAGTAGAAACCGCAATTATACTCCTTGCAAAAAGAGAAGGAACTGCATGGACGTACAAGCATATTATTAAAGGTGCATTGTTATCAATGATAATTAATAATAAATTTCCTAGTACTTATCGAGCATTTTGTTTACTAGGTAAGTATTCTATATCAAATTTAACAATTTTATTAATTTAATTAATTGTAATTCAATATTTAAATTATAATTTTTATTATAAAATTTATAATTACAGGCAATCTCATGCGTGTATTTCCAATAGAAGATAAAGATAATTCAGTTGGTGAAATTATAGAACAGTTGTGTGATTTAATTAATTCTGGTGAAGGTATATTTTTATTATCTATTTTATTTATGTTTAAAATATAATATTAAATTGTTATTTATTTAATTAGGATCGGATGACCAAAAAGAAGGGGTTGTATCGGCATTATTAAGCTTGGTGAGACATAAATTTGAAGAAGTGACGCGGAATATCTTAAAATGGAATTCATTTGTACCATTGCATGATCGAACGATAGAACAGATCAAAGGATTATTTAATATGCGTGATATAGACTTCTGGAAATCTTATTTAAAAAAAAACAAATTATTAATGAATTCTTAGAAAATGAGTAAAATTTAAAGTATAGTTTTTTAATGAATAATGGAAATCGTGTGATATTCATTGTAAGATAGTTTATATTAATTAAAATTTTGTTTTTTTTTTTTTGTTATTTTTCAATATGTTAAAAATTTTCCTTTAATATTTATATTATGTTAATTTTGAATATCTTTGGATTTTTGTTCGTTAATCAAAACTTAATTACATTAATCGTGGCAATAATCATTAATTTTCTCCTATTTTTTTTTAATTTTTTTTTTTACATCAATCTAAAAATAATGCAAAAACAATCTTTTTCTTGTTATTTCTATTTATTTAATTTAAATTTTATCATAACAAACTGACTTTAATTTTAATATGTAGTTCCTTCCTTTTTATTTTCTAAAATGTACAGTACACCATATGCGTAATTTTTTTTAAATTAAAACATTATTGTATTATGTATGTATATATTACAAATGTTAAATAGAAGAGCATTAGGCTCAAATTAATAAGATAATTTTGATAAACCAAAGAAGTAATTTCATAATAAGTGAAATAAGCATTTCCGCAATATCACTTGTGAAGCGTTTCATCTATATTTAAGCTTTTATGTAAATGTTTTTATTTTGAATTCTTCAAAAAAAAAAAATTAGAAACAAAAAGAAAAGATCGTTTTGTTATATCATAAAATAAAAGATTGATTTTCTATGTTTTATCTTTTGAATAATAGTTTCCTTACATCCTTTAAATAAAAATTTTAAATAGAATAAATTTAATTTATATAACATTAATATAATATCGTATTTTTTAAACAAAGAAGATGTAATAAATAAAATAAAATTAATAAATAAATGTTAATAAATAAAAAATAAAATGAAATGAAATATTAAATATTTAATTCGAATATTTATAAAATAACAGATTATCAAACATATCAATTTAGAATTTATTTATGTATATTAAGTAATGATTTATATAGCTTATAGATTTCTTATCCACAATTATTTCTTTGATGAAATTTTAAACTTTTTAAAAGATTTATTTCATCAATTTTAAATGAATTCAAATATAAATTTTTGTTATTTTAACTCGTACGATGATAGCTAATTTTCATCATTTAAATATATTGCATTGGAAGAATGCGATCAACATTAAACTACTTACTTTCCACGAAAACTCTTTAAATTCGAAAATTGCATAGTGTCACTTAAGATTAATCAATTTTTTTGAATAATTTATCATTAATATACTAATTTAAACACGAATTTAAATATACTTTTTGACGTGCACAAATTACTAATTCGTAGCAATCGAATCTACGGTACCGGAAGTAATATGCAGTTAAATTTCAAAAATAATCTTTAAATATATATTATGTTTTCTTCGATGAAACTTTCAACTATGTTATATTTTAACGTCTCTTTTTTTTTCTTTCAATTCTTTTTTATTTATATCCTTTAATATATAATAAATGTTTTAAAGTTTTATAAAACTATATTTAGATACTTATTTTCCTCACGTATTGTCATCTAATCGTAAGGGAAAGGAACGCGGAGAACAGTGGCGCAGCCTATGGGACAAAGATCAAGAATGGCGGGAAAGTATTCAAAAAGGATGATAAGAGCAACATGAACATACTTATGATTTCGCTTAATTTATACTATTTAACCATTTCGGGAAACAAGATTACAAGTTTTTATTCCTCTTTCAATATAATAATAATCATAATAATAATAGATAATAATAAAAATAGATAATAATAGCAATAATAATAATAGAAATAATAATAATAATAGAAATAATAGCAATAATAATAATAATAATAATAATAATAATAATAGTAATAATCAACATATCGTAAGCTTCCATACGCAGAACACGCTAAGATAATACATGTACATGGTTTCTTTACAAAAATAATAACAATGTTTCGATGCAACATTGCGGATCAAGTGATCAATCTTTCTAGCTAAATGACACTTTAGCAACATTTTTATTTTTTTTATTTTTTATTTTTTATTTTTTTCCTTTGGATAGACAACTCTCATGTACTAATCCCCTTTATATCATTTCGTTCATCATTCTCATCGTTCGAAATTTTTTTTTTTTTTCCTTCTTTTTTATAAAGAGGACACACGCACACGCGTTTCCGCGTACGGGCCATACCTTATCTCCTGCCAATTTTTCTCCCTTTCTCCCTTCCCCTCTCTATCTCTCTATTCTCTTTCCTCCTATTCATCTTTATAAATAAACTACCTTTATTTTGTCAGTTAATCGACATTGTCTTTGGTACATTTACAACGAACAGCATTATATCGCGACAGAAAGTACGGATTTGGTATGTCGGACGGGGTACCTACCATCCGCCGTCATATAAAAAAGCGCACGCAATTCACGAAAAAAAAAAAAAAAAAAAGGAATTAATAATGAAATCGAATTTCACTTGGAGATCTTTCGCGCTGTCCTCGGAGCGCGAAGATTTCCGTCCGGAAATTAAAACAAAAAGAAGAAACTAGGGAAAAAAAAAAAAAACGGAAAGAAAAAAAGAAAGGAAAAACAGAAAATTAAGAAGAAAAGCGAGACAAGCGCAAACAAGAGAAAAAAAATAACAAAGGTAAGAAGAGAATTGTTGAACGGGTTACGGCGGCCAAGAAGCGAAGAGACAGCCAAATTGTCGATCGGAACAATCGTCCTCCCCACTGAGAATTTCGCGATTCCAGTGTTACTCGAGATCGATTCCGATCGACCCGGCCAATGAAAATCTCAAACTAACTCCTGGGAGGATCTCTCTTCTAGGACGAGACCTCGGGGCCGTTGATGACCCGAAACGGAAAATGGAAATTTCTTCCGAGATGTTTTTCTTTCTCTTTTTCTCTTTCTCTTTTTCTTTTGTTTTCTTTTTTTTTTCCCCTCTCGACCGAATACAACGTATCCTTCTCGCGTCTGCTTTTTTCCTTCCTTCCCCCCACCCTTCCCACTCTCCCTCCCTCCCTCCCTCCCTTTTTCCCACTCTTCGTCTTGATCTTCGCGATACACGGCCACGGCGCTGTCTGATGTACTAAAATGCCACCACTGTCTACGCTTAAACGGTCGCTAATAAAGTAACCAGGCCCGAGTCATCGCTCTCCTTTTTTTCGTTTTCTTTCCTTCGTCTTCATTTTTTAACCTCTATTGACAAGATCGAAAATTGAGAGAAATCAAAAAATCAAAGAAAAAAAAAAACCTCGATCGATCGATTGCATTTAAATTAAGAGAATTAAATTTAATAGAAAAAAAAAAAAAAAAAGAGAAAAAAAAATAATACGAAGACGATCGGATTGTCGCGGAGCAATCACTCGGACGTGACTGAGTGATTTTTAGTTTTTAGTAAGAAGCTGAGACACTCGTAATCTACCTATGAACCTATTTTTTCTCGACGTAACATTTTAAGAAGATTCCTTCCCATTGTTCGACAATCGGCCAATTCATTGGAGGCAGGTTCGAGTAATAGCTCGTGTTGTCGTCTCGATACGATCAAAATCGCAATTGATTAAAGAGGAACAGTTAACGATCGTTCAAAAGCAATTACTCGAATTTCATTCTTCGAATTATTACACGTTTCGCGCGGAATTAAATTGCATTTGTCTCTGTCGATTGTAAAGAGAGAGAGAAAAAAAAAAAAAAAATGACTTCCTCTAAATTGAAGAACAAATACGCAGGAACCTTCTTCGTCGTATCTCGCGCGATTTTTTCACAGGTAAACTCGCGTCGGAAATTGCGTGCTTTTCTTCGTTTTCTTTTTTTTTTTTTTTTTTTTTTTTTTTTTTTATTTTAAATATAATATATATATATATTTATATTTATATATACTATATCGTTCTTTCTTTTCTTTTTTCTTCCTCTTTTGTTCGTTCGTTCGTTCGTTTTCTTTTTTTTTTCTTTTTTATAAATAATAATAATAAGTGCGTGTCCTTAAAAGATAACCGTGTTAACCAAATAATAACGCGAATAGCGATTAAGGAATAAACTGATTAATCCGTGATCCGATGATAATAATAAAAGGAGAATAATTAAATGATCGTAACTTAATGAATCGTAAATTAGCAAGTTAATGGTAATAATAACCGTGACAATTAATTAAAGGGGGGCATAGAATAATAATAATAGTAGTAGTAGTAGTAGTAGTTGTAGTAATAATAATAATAATAGTAATAGTAATAATAAATGTAAGAATAAATTAGGAACCAAGTACAAAGTTACGAGAGAAGTAAGATTGGGGGGATAATTAAATTAAGAGTTTTTTTCCTTCTTTTTTTTCACGCTACGATTTCTTCACGTTAATTAGGACTATTTATAATAAATTACACCGTACGAATTACGAGGACGGCCTCGTAAGCCGTGAGAAAATAATAATAATAATTATTAATAATAATAATAATAATAATAAAAATAAAATAAAATACACTTTAGGCCACCTAGCTTCACGCGTTTCCCGTCTCGGATTCTGCCTTTTTTTTTTTTATTTTTTTTTATTTATTTTTTATTTTTCTCTAAATTCTACGTATTCGTAATTATCGATTATACACTCTCTTCGTAGCGCTTTTCTCGTTTCCTCCGTTCGTTCGATTGCCTTCCTCGATATAGAAAAACCTCGATCGGGAACGAAAGAGAGAAACGCGGGAGACGAAAGAAACCGGGAGGCTTTGTCGGGTCACGATCTCGCGCGGCACACGTTACGGTTTACGTCACGTTTTTACACACGAAGAAGAAAAGAAAAAAAAAAAAAAAAAAAAAAAAAAAAAAAAAAAAAAGAAGAAGAAGTACATTGGACGAAGATTTCACCTTTCTTCCGTTATCTTCAAAGCGTTTGGAAGCTTGTTCACTCAACCACCACGGCACAGTGTATCTACAAATGTACAAATAAGCATCGAATATCAGGACCGACCATCCCAATCGATAATATCGTTGCTTCCCCCAGAATCTCTCGAGATGGCGTTACGGATGGCATTTTCGATTCCTCTATACCTCTCGAGTTACGAAGGAAAAGTTTCCTCGTAATAATATCGTTCGTATGTAATATTCTTCTCGAAGAGGCGTGCAACGCCACAACGGCGAATCTCCGTCAGACTCGTCTCCCGATGAAATATTTATTCGTCAATGGTCACCACGGAGGAGGAATTGGAAACCCGGTTAGCGTCGTCATAATTGTAGTTTGTCCGCTACAATGGCCCAATCGCTCGTTTTAAATAAATTTGACACCGGGGACGAGTCGGCTGGCCTTTGTACATATATACATATACATATATATATGCATCTACACATATATGTATACATATATATATTATCCAGGATAATTTACTATTTACAAGAGGAGAGGCAAGAAACAGAGATACGTTTCACGTGGCATCGAGACGCTTTCGTGATTTTTTTTGTTCGTCTCGTTCGAAGAATACAAAGATATCCACCATATCCATCCACGCCATCTCGATTCGTGCAATTATTAGGATTCGATCGATCCTTCTTTCTTTCTAACGTTACACCGAGGCTTAGCTCCTCTCTTGCTAGGTCTGAACACGCCACCGCGCAGAGACACCATCCTCGAGTCCCTTTTCCATCTATTTCACACGCCAATTTAAATTAAGTTACACAGTTGTGCGGACGAAAATAATACATGTATGTATATATATATATACTTAAATTAGATTTTCAAATAAATAATTACGTACGTATTGAACGAACATTTTACAGTGAGAAAAACATTTTCGAGTTTGTTTTTTTTTTCTTATCCTGATCACGCGGATCGAATTGTCGCTGTGCTCGATATATATATATATATATATACATATATCGTTTCATCTAACGAAAAACGAACGATACAAAAGTCACGAATCTTTTTAATCTCCTCTCGTCTTGGACGAGGAATATACGCTCAACGTAATTTGCATTAAGTTAAATACGATATAAGTGACTCGTTCTATTTTCCATGTTTCGATGGAAAAGATTTAACTTTGTGAGAAACTTGTATATATATATATATGTGTATGTGTGCTGAATTGGGAACTCGGATCGATCTCGGCGTGGTTGGTACGAAATACGAGGGGTTCTAATGTGAAAAAGAAACGAACGAAATCGGACGAAACAGAAAATAGGGCATGGGAGGGAAAAAAAGGAGAAAATGAAAAGAAAAAAAAAAAAAAAAAAAAAAAAAAAAAAAAATAGTAAAAAGCAAAAGTGAAAAACTCCTTCCCCTCTCCTCCCCCTCCCAGTGCCAGAGAGGAAAGCTTATTTCCGCGCGTTTCCTCGGTCGAAAGATCGAGGAAAAAGAAAAAAAGAAGAATGTTTCTACGAGAACGTGGCAACGTTTCTACTTAGAAAAAAATGGATTATTTTTCGTTCGAAACTTAACTCGATACGTTATTATCTTAAACCGACAACTAATATAACGTTACGTAATTATTCTCCGGTTATTATTGTCTGTTCTAAACTATATATCTCGTATCTCCGATAGGAACAAATTATTTTATACCTTCTTCTCCTTCTTACGTTCGCGCTAAATGTTTCTTTACTCTCTCTCTCTCTCTCTCCCTCCCTCTTCACACCTCTTTCTTTTTTCCCCTTTCTATTAAGAGAGTCACCTATTCAGTAGTTAGAAGGCTTTATTTTTAAGCTTCCCTTCTTTTCTACTTTCTTGTCCTTTGTTCTTCCAGCTGTTCAGGTCCAGCTATTTAAAGTTACCAGCTACGTACTTCTTTTTCTCAGTTAATCCTACGCTCTTCTAGATCTATCTTGCCCCTGATCATCGATCCCGAGGATCCCGATCCACGTATCGATTTATACAGCGAGTACGACGAGATCGTTTCTTTTTTTTTCTTTTTTTTTTTTTTTTTTAATATAGCCTTCTCTAATTGTGAACGAACACGAGGAGGAGGAGGAGACTCCTCTTCCTCTTCCTCTTCCTCTTCTTCTTCTTCTCTTTCTCTCTCCTCTTCCTCTCCTTTTCTTTTTCTTTTCCTTCTCTCGGCAGAAACGGATAAATTCATGCGGGAAAATGAAACGTCGACGTGACAAAGGCTCGTGTAAATAAGAAAGAAAAAAATTCGCGGAGCGGAAGAATGTCGTTGTCGGTTGGTCGCGTTCACAACGGATTTTTTCCTCCCTTTCTCTGCCTGTATTTCCTCTCTAATGCTCGCCTAATAATCGCGAGAACGTAGTCCATGGACGGAGACAGATAGCAGAGGTTGAAGGTGAAGAAAGCGATTTCTTTTCCCTTCCGTCGACGACGTCGGTTTCGGTGATCTCCACCACGCTCCACCATCGAGGTGGACTGGGATTATCAGGATCCTTTATCATTGATTGGAACGCTTCCCTTCGCTGATCGACGCCATTCTCATTGACTCCGCTTCCGGGCAGTTCCATCCGGGCATTCTCGTTTGCTCTATAGCCGCCTGTGGATACAAGAAATTTATCATTATTATGAAACAATAAATTCTACTTCCCTAACTTGTCATAACATAATAATATTTAAGGTTAACAAGGTTTAAAATTTGTACAGATGCACAAAGATCTGTGGTCACTGTGCCGCTTCCCACAGACTTTTCTAAAAATTTATTTACAATGGCGAAGGTGAGAGAGAATTTCAGAAAAGAAAGATCTTATTACCATCAGATTAACAGGGATCGTCTTCTCCTTACTTATGTACATTGATTGTTTTATATAAATAAAGATTAGAAAGTTAGAGGTTATGGGTACTTTGAGTGACACGGCCATTATTATCAGGGAATCGTGTTCAAAGTACATTTGCGCGTGTACAATAATAAAGTGATTCTTCAGATTTTTCATTATTAAAATTCGATATAAGTGAATTTACCGAGCTATTGGGATTCTTGGTCATGAAGATCATGAGGGAGCGGCTACGGTTGCTAAACGGCCTCAACTCCGGATCTCGGCCAGGACCATCCACCGTGTCGACGCAGTTACTGTTGGCATAGAAATAACGAATGTGAAATCCCGTCCATTTGTCCGACTATACAATATCATTCACACTTAAATGAAAACGATAAAAATTCGATTACATCGATCACAATTTCAGCATTGTCCATTTATTTTTTCTAACCTAATTAACTTCATTCAACTAGCATTAGTTAATTTCTGATTCTAGTCGAGCTAACATTCCAATTAAAACGTTTAACATTTTGTCAAATTAAATCCTTCTTTTCAAATTTCTGTTCAAAACAAAAAAAATAAAAAAAAAAACGAAATATTCGAGTTTCTTCGAGCGCGAAAATGACACAACAAATCACTTTTCACCCACAATTATAACCCACAATTATATTTTCGAGTTTATATCTCGTGATTTCGATAAATCGTTTTACAATTTATAATTTTTCGAGATTACACACCTCGACCGCAATTCCTTTTGCTTTCGCTTACAGTGGATGTAAGCCGCTATGCAAATGATAACGACCAGGAATACTGCTATCGTGGCACCGCCGGCGATGCTTGCCGTCTCCAACATTACACGTTGCCGAGAGGCTGTAACGAAAAAAAAAAACTTGTTGTCACTTTCTTAACCAAACAAGCAGCCTCCTTCGCTTATGCTCACCGCTCCACTCGCGCACACGTTTCAAGAAAATGGACGTTAAAAGGAAGAAAGGAGGGGGTAGAGAGAGAAAGAGAGATAGGAGGAGGCTCGTTTCGAATTCACATTGTAACCGAGCGCGTTATACACACTCGACATTTAATGGCTGTATAGACACCGCCTATACACGCTATATAGAAACGGTCTAGAATGGAATAAAACGATACGGACGGCGAGCGTGCGGGAATACAATGAGAGAATGAAGAATTGGATACTTACGTAAATAGGAACCATCTAAATCCTTAAACTCGCATCTCTGCCCGATATAACCGTTGGCGCATCTGCAAACAAAAGTATTCTATTAGACGCAGTGTTCATATAGGTTATATTACAGATCTATTACATGAATTTAATCGAATTATTAATTACAATAATGGGTACAATGGTAGTATCGAACATTCGCAAAAATATTAGGATAAATATTAATCGATGAATTTATATTATAGATTGTTATATATTATATTATACTATATAATATATTTTAGACAGTGTATCGGATAGATGTTTATGATACAATGGATACGTCAGTTGGATAATGGATATCGACGTATCGCTCAACGAATTTTATTAAAACTCGTGCGTTATTAAAGAGTGTACACTGTGCAGGTGTATCAACCGGATAGAAGAGTAGTGGAATGCATATGGCGGGCTTTATTGTTCGAACGTGGCACTTCCGTAAAACGCGGCAAGAAATCCAGGAAGCTATAAAACCTACTCTTTAGGCACGAAACGCTTTTAGTATCGGGCATTAATCAGATGGGTACGCGATCGTTCCACGGCCAC